ATATCTTCACATTTATATATACGAGGAGATACCGCGAGCTGTTCGACGTATTTCTTATAAGTGTCTAGTTCCGCGGAGCGGGGTCTAGTACCGATATTTATTGGCATACCATGGGTTCTTCGAGCTCGTAAGGCCTGTGTTTCCACGGCGCGTAATGGGTTTGCAACGTGCTTTTGCGATGGCAGCGAGCTGACGAAAAGAAATATCGGAAATTGCCAAAGAGTACTCCCAATGCGATACTTCTCTCTGGCCAGCTTTCTGCATCGTTCAAGCATAGCGTCGAACTCGTTCAAGATTCGTTGACTCGTACAAGAATGTTCTGTGGTTTCTACAAATGAACTTTTTTCCAATCGACAAATCTTAAGCCGCGCACAAAACCGCTGTGTCTTGTTGCGAAGTTCTCGAGATTTTCATTGAAGAATGCAACGTCTCTTCCGCTTCGAGTAATTCTGAGAAACCCCCGAAGATCGATGTTTCTTGCTTGTTGATGCTCTTGCGAAGTATTCTCGCTCTCTGCTAGAATTAAACCTCAACCTCAATCATAGTTCTTCAGTTCTTAACTCACTTCGGCATCACAAGTACAATCTTCCATTAAAATTCTGTTACGCCAAACTTTGAAGTTAACTGAAGAACAAAATTTCATTTATATTTATTTTCACTCTTGTATTCTCTTTTTTCTGAAAGATAATTCGTTAAGAAATTTATTTAAAATTTATTTAATATTCCACGGTTTATTATTGTCCAATGCGCTAGCTTGATAAGGTAGTTATCTACTTTGAAGGGTCGTAACTCTTTGCTAACTTAATAACCGCGACCATAAATTGACAGCAAGCATCCTTTCATGTGACGATAATGTTACCTTTGAGATAAAATGATGAGCGCTCTATTGCAAATTACAAACGAATAAATATTTATTTCTCTTAGGAACAGTTTTGTATTATCAATAACGTATAACGCTTTTCATAAAATTTTTCTTTTATGCAAAACCACCTAATGATATAAATTGGAGCATAAGTATACGCTTTATGTATACCAATATTTGTTGGAGTTGTTTCGTCCTAAGGTATAGAGGAGTAATTTCTAGTTTACATCATGGTCTACTAAACAACAAAGATGATTAGTCGGTTCTACAGCTGATTAAATAACTGATGTCAGTAAAGCTGGCCCAAACGGTTTTTTTTTACCAGAAGTACGCACTGTTAGCGCTTTTTTTACCTTTTTTAAAAAAAAAGTTAAGTTTATATACGATTGTAGAATTTAATAACTTGGTAAGGATAACACCACTTTTACATTTATAAAAAATAGTAACACACTTAGGTTTTCCTTTTTAATTTGGTAATACTAATTTACACCAACTTAGGAATACACAATTTTGTGTAAAAGAAAACCGAGACAGTACCGTGTCTCTAGATATAATTTTAAGAAAGCATTCTTGACAATAAAATCTCACGACTTCTGATTCTTCCTACAAATTAAAGCTATTATTACACACATTCCTTCATTGTACAAGGGTTGATAGTACAAAATTGTTTCGGAGAAAGACAAATATTATTTTCTCAATAATCCATGTCGTGAGAAGCTCGATGGCAAAAGCCCATGGTCGCGAACATGCGATGACGGTGCGCGCGCAGAGGTAAGGTGAAGGGTTTCAAATTAAGGCCCGGTGCTAACGATTCGCGTGATGCGTGGTGACCGTCGGCGCGTGCCGCACGAAGCAGCTGCCAACAGCTGCTGTAGAAAAGGATCGTCTCTTGTTCTTATTTCATTTTTACTTGCGTCGCCTCTGTGGTTAAACGATAGCATTAGTCTTTCGGAAAAATACAGTGGACAAGAGTCTTTTATACGAGACAAACTATGTTAAATTTAACTACATATATAGTTTTTAGCATTTAGTATTGTATTCATTCATATAATAATTAAAAAATGTTTTATTTGATCGCACTACTATAATAGAGCGAATTGCTCTCATTAGTCCTAAATTTTTCATTTTTGATTATTTCGAGAGTTGACTTTTTTATTGAATTTAACTATAGTATTTGCATAATATACATATAACTGCAATTGTACGTGATTTTGTTCTCGAAAAAAATATAAATTTAATTGCCAAATTTTCCTTATGAATTCAATATATAGATTCTCGTTATATGAGATGAGATGAACTACTATTGTATTATTGTATGAAAAGAAGGCAGCCAGGAATATTAAATAAGATATATTATAAATATATTTTAATAATATATATATATATTATATTAATGAATAAGAGAGCTTTAGCCACACGCTAGATATAATAAGCGATATTTATTTAATAGTTATATATATAAATACAAATTAAAAAGTGAAAATAGACGTTTCGGCCCTAAAAGAAGCCATCTTCAGTACAAAAATTAATATAATAATGAAGAAAAACAATAACATTATATGATATATTTTTTGGTTATACATGATGCGATTCTGAGTCGTTATTCCGATTACAATTTTTATAC